CTGTATTTTTTTTCTTATAAAACATAAAATCTATCATAATTTAAAGAGGAAATAGTATAAATGCAGCTTTAGACATTTTAAAACATTGTTCTAGTAAGAATATATTCCTCTCAAATAATAAACTTACTGGCCCAATTCCAAATTCGATCGGCAATCTTTCTACATTGAGTGTTCTTGTTCTAAAAGCTAATGCTTTTGATGGTGAATTACCTATTCAGGTATGAATGTTAGAAAAATTGAGCATTTTGGATGTTTCAAAAAATAAACTTTCTGGTTCCTTACCCTCTTGTTTCGGCAATTTGACTTTCAAGGTAGCCAGTGAAAAAGAATATGTTGGCCTCGGATATTTTATATATCGATCCTTTGACAAGTCATATTTTGTATCCATGGGTTTACCAAATCTAGATTCCTATGTTGATAAAAATAAGAACAATAGAAATGAGAATCCCGTAATCAGTGTCGATGAAGTTATAAAGTTCACAACAAAGAGACATTCCTATAATTACAAAGGTGACATCCTTAATTTCATGTCTGGAATGGATCTTTCTTGCAATATATTTAGTGGAGACATCCCATCAGAATTGGGAAAATTAGATGGGTTACATGTACTAAATCTATCGTATAATAATTTCACTGGATTTCTCCCTGCAACATTCTCAAAACTAAATCAAATTGAGAGCTTGGATGTTTCTCATAACAGCTTGACTGGAATCATCCCTCCACAACTTACTGCAATCACCACTCTAGCTGTTTTCAGTTTAGCATACAATAACTTGTCAGGCACAACTCCAGAGATGAAAAATCAGTTTGGTACTTTTGATGAAAGCAACTATGAAGGAAATCCTCTTCTCTGTGGACCTCCATTGCAAACCAATTGCACTAGAAAAGAATCACCATCAAAGTCAATGCCCAATGAAGAAGAAGAAGAAGACAACTTCATAGACATGGATGTTTTCTATGTGAGCTTCGTGGTATGTTACATAATTATGGTGTTGACAATTGCATTGGTTCTATACATCAATCCATATTGGAGACGCAGGTGGTTTTACTTCATTGAAGAGTGCATACACACTTGTTACTACTTTGTGGTGGATAGTTTTCATAAATTGTCCTAAATCTACTGTGATTGTTGCTGGCATTGTATTGGGTGCTTTGTATATTGTACTGTACTTGTCTCATATCTTAGACTTTGTATTTTCTGTTTTGCTTTCAGAATTGGCGGGTGGGCAACTGGCTTTGTGGTCTATCCATTTCTTGGTTTCTTGTAATCACTCTATGAGTCTATGCTTAATAACAACGTGAATTTTATTCAAAAAAAAAAAAAAACTTTAGGCATTCCTTCTTCCTTTATATCTTCTTATGTATAAATCCAATTCTTTTTCTTTTTTTTGAATGAAATATATACCTTCAAATATAAACTTTAGGCATTCTTTATGTTTTTCACAAGATTCTATAATTTGACCAGCCTTGAAGAACTTTTACTAGATGGTTCTTCTCTCCCAACAAACTTTCTTCTAAACGTGGGAGCATTGTCTTCTCTTAAAGTTTTATCTCTGAAATGATGTGACCTCAATGGCACCCTTCCTGCTCAAGGTACGTAGTTACAATCTGATCTTTCTACATTTCCTTAGATGAACAACTATTGGATAATAGTGCTTCATAACATGAATATCTATTATACAGGCTGGTGTGAGCTGAAGAACCTCCAACAACTACATCTGTCTTCTAACAAACTAGAAGGCTTGCTCCCATCTTGTTTGAGAAACTTGTCATCTCTACAACTGTTGGATGTTTCTTACAATCAATTGGTCGGTAATATTGACTCTAGTGCTCTTGCCAATCTCACTTCCCTTAAATACCTTGACCTTTCAAGAAACGACTTTGAAGTCCCGATCCCATTTAAGTCATTTGTGAATCATTCCAATCGCAGTTTCCTTTCATGTGCTGACAACAAAATAATAGCCGAACTTTACTTTCAGAGTATTATTCCAAAGTTCCAACTCAAGTTCTTCAGTTTCTCGAACTGTACGTCAAAATTAACATAAATTCCTTACTCCCTTCATAACCAATATGACTTAAGAGTTCTTGATCTCTCCCACAACAACTTCAGAGGAATTTTCCCATCTTGGTTTTTTGAGAATGATACATGATTAGAAACACTATTACTGAGAGACAATTTCTTTACAGGCCCTTTACAGTTTCAACACCATCCAAATCCTCGCCTTTTGACCATAGATATAACAAACAACATCATACATGGTCAAATTCCTAGAAATATGTGTTTGACATTTCCAAATTTGGGCGTGTTAAAGATGGCTAAGAATGGACTTGAAGGGCACATATCTCCGACGATGCATTGCCTATAATAAATCTGGAGCAGTTGACCTCATTATCCTTTTTGAAACTATCAAACAACAACTTGGAAGGGCACATATCTCCCTCAATTTTCAACTCATCTAGTTTGCAAGAACTCTACCTAAATGGAAACAATCTTAGCGGACAGGTATGGGATATTTCATCTATCAATGGGTTATCTTTGGAAGCATTGGATATCAGTAACAATAATTTTTCAAGTATGCTCTCGAAATGGATAGGCAATATGTCAAATCTCTTGGCAATTGATTTATCCAAAAATCATTTTAAGGGTCCAATTCCAAGAGATTTTTGCAAGCTCAACATACTTGAGTATTTTGACCTGTCTGAGAATAATCTTTCAGGTTCTATTCCATCTTGTTTCAACCCATATCCATCTATCTAAAAACCAATTGCGTGGTCCTTTAACCTCTTCATTTTTTAACATCTCCACCTTGGTGACATTAGATCTCTCAAATAATAACTTTACTAGCCCAATTCCAAATTTGATCTGTAATCTTTCCAGATTGAGTGTTCTTGTTCTAAAAGCTAATGCTTTTGGTGGTGAATTGCCTACTCAGTTATGCATGTTAGAACAATTGAGCATTTTGGATGTTTCAGAAAATAAACTTTCTGGTTCTCTACCCTCTTGTTTCGGCAATTTAACCTTCAAGGCAGCCAATGAAAAACAATATAATGGCAACTTATATTTTGGATATCCATTCTTTGACAAGTCAAATTTGGTATCCATGGGTTTACCAAATCTACCGAACTATGCTGTTATGAATGAGAATTATGGAATTGAGAATCGCATAATCAGTGTCGATGAAGTTCTAGAGTTCACAACAAAGAGACATTCCTACAATTACAAAGGTGATATCCTTAATTTTATGTCGGGAATGGATCTTTCTTGCAATTCATTTAGTGGAGACATCCCATCAGAATTGGGAAAATTAGATGGGTTACGTGCACTAAATTTGTCACACAATAACTTCACTGGATTTCTCCCTACTACATTCTCAACTGAATCAAATTGAGAGCTTGGATCTTTCTCACAATAGCTTGAGTGGAATCATCCTTCCGCAGCTTACAGTAATCACCACTCTAGCAGTTTTCAGCGTGGCATACAATAACTTGTCAGGCACAACTTCAGAGAGGAAAAATCAGTTTCCAACTTTTGATGAAAGCAGTTACGAAGGAAATCCTTCTCTATGGACCTCCATTGCAAACCAATTGCTCTAGAGAAGAATCACGATTAAAGTTCGAGCCTAATGATGATGAAGAAGATGATGATGATTTCATAGACATGGATGTTTTCTATGTGAGGTTCGTGGTATGTTACATAATTGTGGTGTTGACAATTGCAATGGTTCTATACATCAATCCATGTTGGCGACGTTGGTAGTTTTACTTCATTGAAAAGTGCATATACATTTGCTACTACTTTGTTGTGGATAGTTTTCGTAAACTATCTAACTTCAAAAGGCCTTAACATAGTGTTGTGGGTTTGTTTCTGAATTTGCTATGAATGTTGGGTTAGAAATTGTGGTTTACCTATTTGGTTGCTGGCACAAACTTCAGTTTGCCCACTACCTGTTCGATAATTTGCTTGTGAGAAGTATTGCTCAAGATCCTTGGTGTTGGGTGCTTTGTATTTTGTATTGTACTGATCTCGTAGCTTAGACTTTCTATTGAGTCAGATGTGAGGTGTGAGTTGCTTAGGATCTTTAGAAGTCCATTTTATTTTCTGTTTTGCTTACAGAATTGGCAAGTGGGCAACTAGCTTTGTAGCCTATCCAATTATTGGCTTCTTGTAATCAATCTATATGTGAGAACTATGCTTAACAACAATGTGATCTTTATTCAAAACCCAAAAAAAAACTTTAGGCATTCCTTCTTCCTCTATGTCTTCTTGTGTACAAATCCAACTCTTTTCCTCTGGATGATTTTCCGGTGCAGTATTCTAAGTTGAAATTTATATTATTGAAGAAATGAAAGAGATTAAGATAAGTTTTCATTACATCAAAGTAGGAAAAAGAAAAAAATTCATTCCATTTCTTAGAAAATTAAATCACCTCTCTTTACTCAGTTAACCTTGATAGACATGTAAGGAGAGGTTGATTCAACAAAGATAGACCAAGGTCAATATTGTTCAAAGCTGGATTACCCAATATTATGTTGACTTACTTGCATATATATTGTCATATACCAAATTTTTTTCATTTTTAATTTATTTTTCATTTTCCTTTATTTATTTTAATTCATGTTGTTTTATTTCAAAAAAAAAAATTAACTAAGAAATTAAAAAAAATGTTTTTTAATTGATACTAGGAGTTTGATACAAAAAAAAAAAAAAAAAAAAAAGAAAGGAGGGGACCTGTACGATTTTCTTCTGCATCTTTGTGCAGTTACTTGCCATCTTCCCAAACCAAATTGCAGCTTGCCGTACCCTCCTTTTGCCCTGCAACCTGCAGCCTCTCTCCCCAAGTCAAACTCAGCAGCCCCTAACTTGCCCCCTTTGCTACTGCCTCTAGCCCACAACCAGCAGCAACTTGAAACCCACAATCAACCCTCCACAGTCAACCTCTAGCAGCCCCTGTTCCTGCAAACTCCATCCCCGCAAGTCAAACTCTACCACCCTACTGCCTTTAGCCAACATCTACATTACAGCAACTTGCAGTCCTTCCTGAAGCAACTTGCAAGCTATGCTGCAGTGCATCATGCCATGCTACCAGCCTCCATTGCAACCTACTGCCACAGCCCCATTCCAGCAGCCTCCCCCTACTGCAGTCACCTCCTGGACAAACTCCTGTCCAATCTTCACCAACCAGCAACCTCCAATTATCCAGCAGTCCCAACCCTTCCTGCTGCCACTACCTTCCTGCACAGCCACCCTACGGCCATTCACCTACTGCCAGCCCCCACTGCATTAAGCTGCAGTCCACCCATCACCCTAAAACTGCCAGCCTCAACCCTACAACCTGACAACATACCTGCAATAATCCCTCATGGTGTGAAACAACACAATCACGGATAGAAGAGGCAGCAGCAAGAGAGAAATCAGTTCAAAAAAATTGAAAAGAAAAAAAAAAGAAAAAGAACAGTAGCACTTCAGGATGAGCTTTTCTGAAATTAAAACAAACTCAGAAAAATCAAACAAAACTAATTGAAAGAAAAAACAGAGACGGCAAACAAAAATTGAAAAAAAAAAAAAAGGCAAAGGAACGAAACAGAAAAGGGAAGAGATTTTACCGAATTTTTGTTGGAGCAGTAGCAAATCTGATCACCATCACTCACTCCGAATTCCTTGAGGTAATCCCCTTTTCCTTTTCAATGTAATTTTCGTTTTTCTATGTTGATGGAAGTGATATTCATCACTGCCATCCCCGAATTTTTTTTGTGATACTCAAATGAAAGAATGAATTGAAATTCATACTCAGATCAATTCAGGTTTGAAATTCAAAAATTGAAATTTTTTTGCGAATTTACGTAGTTAGGGCTTTCGAATTTGGGGATTTTGATGTTTGGGTTGAAATTGAGGTTGAAAAATGAAAAGGAAGGCTAATTGAACTTAATTGGAAGGGCTATAAACCCAGAATTGAAGTGAATTGGACTAGAACAAACATAGGGTTTCTAAATTAACAAAAATAACTGGGGGATTTTTGAAGAAAAAGACTTAATTGGTTTGGAATTGGCTTGATCTCAAGAGAAATCAAGCCAATTAAGGCTAATTTAATGAAAATTGAAAACAAAAAAAAAACTTACAGTTTCGGCCAAATTTGGGGAAGAATTTCGGGTAAAATTGAAATCCGGGGTTTCTATTTAGAGAGGGAGAGAAGCTTGAGAGTGAGAAGGAAAGAAGATTGAAGAGGAGAAGGAGAGCCATAACAGATTCAAAAAAAAAAAAAAAAAAAAAGAGGAGGAGGAAGAAGAAGGATTATGAAAAGGAGGACGGGAAGAAAAGAAGAAAAGAAAAAAAAAGGAAGAGGAGAGGAGTGGTTCGTCCCTGGAGAGGGGGAGAAAGAGCGAGGAAGAAGAAGAAGAAGAGAGAAAGAGGGGGAGAGGGAGAGAGAGAGAGAGACAGAGAACGGGTGAAGGAGAATGGAAAAAAAGATAAAAAGTGTTTTGATCCCGAAAAGAACAAGAAGATAGAACGGGTCCAACCGAAATGGTGTGGGTTGGGTATTTTCCAGCCCGAAAGAAAATAAAAGAAGAAAAATTTGGACTGGACAGATTCTAGTCCAGTCAAGTGGGCCAAGCCCAATGGGTCGACAGCCCACTGACAAAAAAGGGCCCCAGATGGTGTAATTTCATTTTTTTAGATAAATTTATTCTGAATGTTTTTATTTTTGTATGTTTATTTCTTGTTTAATTTAGATTTTAATATTCTAGATCTCTTGAAATTTAATTTAATTTAATTTTAATTTTAGAATTTTTTTCAAAAATCAGTTTAAATAATTAATAGATAGACGAATTGTCGAATCTCTTAATTTTTAACGATTGATGACGATCTCCCACTATATATAAAGAAGGGGAATACTAAGAAAATAAAAAGAGAAAAAGCTAAGAAAAATTGACAAAGTCTTTTATGTGATAAGAAGTGTTGTTAGCAAACTTATTTTAATAATCAAGACATTCTTCGACACATCGGTTGTGTCGAAACTTAAAGAATCGATATTTAAACGGATGTGTCTTCTAACAAAAAGATTCGATGATTGATTCAATATGATACTATAATCGAAAATAAAAAACTTGATTTGGCTTTAAAAATTAAAATTGAAAATAGTTTGACACAATTAAAACACTTTAGGAAATGAATTTTATGAATAAATTAGACGTGATATCTTTCTTAGGAAATAACGTTTTTGGATTATTAAAAGCTTATAAAAAACGTAATCAATTTCTTATCCTATAATCTTTGGACTAATGTAATTTTTAAGTTTCTAACTCTTACAATACTATGTGACGACTCTCAAATCTAATAATAACTTACGTTCTTCAAATAAATAAATAAAATTTTCAAATACATATTAAATTTTTTAAAAGTCTTGTTTGACATAGGATAGCTATATATAGGAATGAAAGAAGGTTTTACTTGTACAACAAAGTTTTCATATATACATGAAAATTGGCTGCATCAATTCCGTGGTTTCTTCTACAAATGATAGCTTCTTTGTATGGACGATGTAGTAGAAAAACGTAAGAAATTGAAGTCCGTAACATTTCAGCATATGAAAAGAGAGCTAGATGAGTAGCTGATCGTTTGGCTAAAAAAGAAGTAGATAGGATTTCTGAATTCATATCTTGCCTGTAATCTTTGCTTCTGTTTTTTATATGTAACTCTTTGCCATGGTATATTGATCGATCTTTTATATATATATATATTATTACCAATTTCACTTATCACACTCCCACTATAATTCCACCTTCATTTATTTATAATATCGTTTTCTTTTTTTCAGATATAAAGTAATTATTAACATTAAGAAATTCATAAATTAGGTTATTATTATTTTAGTTTTTGTTATATATATGGTGTTATGCTTAAACTATTCCTAATTTTTGGAAGCGACATAAATATAAATGAACATTACATGCAGTCCTTTTCTAGGAGGACAGCAATCACAGGAGGAACACCCCATTCCAAAAGCTATTAAGATAAAAAAAATAAAAAAGAATTCCAAGTGGGGTAGTGCATAATAAGAGTATTTTATAAATTAATTTTTTTAAATTAATTAATTAATTAATCATTTGATCAATATTGACTATAATTTATTATTTTTTTTTAAAGAAAAAAATGTGTTTTTTTTTCTGATCAACAGTTTCATATTTTTTTTTACTTTTTTTATTTATCAAAACAAAATAAAATGAATTAAAAAAGTAAAAATAATTAAATTATAAATAGATTTAAAAATATAAAAACTAATTAATTAATAATTGAAACTTGAAAGACTATTTCATTTTTTTTTCTTTTTTTGGGAAAAGTAAATATATAAAATTTGTAGTAATTTACTGATCTGCATAAGAAAATCGTTTTGTAGATCTTGAAATATGATATTTAAGCCAACTCACTGATCTAAACCACAATTCAATACAAACCAAATAGAATCATACTTAACATATAATTAAGTTACAAATAGATTTAAAAATATATAAACTAATTAATTACTGATCGCTTTTGCTCATTTTTCAAGTAATCAAGACTAGATTGAACTATTTGAGAAGACCTTGACTTGGATAGCGTCTATTTTATTTATTGTTTAATAGCACTGGCAATGGATTAAAGCATGAGATATTGTCATGTAAACTAATAATTGATTTGAATGATTAATTACAATGATCGATAGTACGTCTCTATTTATAAAGAATACTAAACTTAATAATTAAGTAATTTTGAAAATTAAGCTAGCCTAAATAGAAATATAATTTTTTCTAGAATAATATTTCTTTTCTAAATAGTAAAAGAAAATAAAACAAAACCCAATTTTTAGGACAGTCCAAATTGATGTTGTTGCTGCTGAAGAATTCTGCCCATCATCACATGCTATTCTTCTTTAATTGTTTAACAAAATTTGCTCATCTTTATCTTATTCGGTCCTTGTTGTCCTTTTAAGTGTTGAATTTTGTCCTTAATCAATAATTGTCTTGCAATTTAATCCAATAACTGTTTATCAACAACTAGAAAAATATTTATTTTGAATAACAACACATGCATTCTTAATTACTGAGTTGGAATTGATTTTAGTGACCTCATTCTAATCGATTGGATGACTAATCACTTGGCAAATAAGCTCAAATGCTTTTCTTCTTATAGCCAACAATCACGAGATTCTTAGTTGACAAAAAAATGCACTACTTTTTATTATATTTATTTCTAATTGATAGAGAGAATTCAAACAATAAAAATATTATGAATCAACTCTAATTTTTAAAGATAATTCAAATAATAAAAATTTATGAATCAACTTATGGAGAGCTTGAAAATAAGAAGAAATTGTTGATAATTAATAGCAATCATTTTATCATCACTACATCTTCCATATCATCCACAAGTTAATCAAATCTATTGGTTCAAACATGAATTTTGAAATTCTACTAGCCAACTTAGAGGAACACCCCATTCCACAAGTTTTTTTTTTAAAAAAATTCAAACAAATAGACTAATCAATGAATGTAAATGTTTTCTTGTCCCTCATTCTACAAGCAAAGGCAAAAGGAAACAGATTAGCTGAACCAATAATATTTTATTGTTCTTTTATTTTTTTAAAAAAAAAAGAAAGAAAAACCCAAAGTTGAGCAATAATTTATTAAAATGAACTATTACATATAGAATTGCAAATTAATAATAATAATAATAATAATTCAATGACTAAAATGCATATACTGAAGAATTAGAGGAGCAAAAAAATGTCATTAAGGACTAAAATGTCATGAAAATAAAATACAAGGGTTAAAATAAATTATTGCTCCTCGTTTTGGCCAATCTTGCTTCTTTCCATCAATTTCAGCTTCTTCCTTTGTTAAATTTTGGTTCTCTCTAGCTCTCTACCTTGTGATTTAGTCCCTCTTATTCTTTTTTTTTTTCTCTCAAAGATGGTGGAGGAAGAAGACTAAGCTTAAATGCAATGTTCCCCCTCTTATTTCCTTCTCCCATCCGAATTTTTTGGTCCAAAATGATGTTAATGAGATACATGTCCTAAAGTGATTATTTTACACTTAGACATTAATTTAGGTGGAATATGTATGCACGACATTTTTTTTAGATTAATTCATATTTAGGACATTAATTAAATTTTAGATTTTAAGTTATATATGCATAAAAATATTTAATTAAATTACATTTTCTAAGTTCTTTACTTGTTAATTAATTTACTATTCACACATAACATTTAGCAACTAATAATTTTGCAAATAAAACATTTATCATCCATAAAACAAGAATGCCATAAATATATTTAACAAAATAAATATTCATATAAAGCATAAAAAATAAATTCCGATATTACAAAAGATGATAGTTTCATATCATTTTACCAGTATGACACCCAACTCATGTTCCTATAAAATTTTCAGATCATTCAAAACCACCACGGCACACAAGAAAACTTGGTCCTGGTCGTGTGTTTCATAGAATGCCATTTTGATTCTTGCACGCACAAATTTTGGATTGGAATGCCTTAAAGAGGAAGTCTAATTCGAATCCCTTCTAGAGAAAAAAAGAAAAAGTTGCTATTAAATTATTTAAAAAAGGAAATTCAAAATATTGTACCCAAATATCTGACAAATAATTATGAAGTCAGTCTATTTCTTTTCTTTGATTCTTCAATTGCTCCATCGATCTCATGCTTATTCAGACCTCAACAAATATCTGTCCTGTTTTCTGATTGGCGAAAGCTCCCACTAGAGTCAATCATGCGATACTGTATTTTCATCCTCAAGTAGTCATATTTTCGAAGTCAATGAACGCTGCTCTCACTGGAGAGTGGATATCTGCACCGCAGTGCCCTGTGATTATTGTCACGCTGAAGTATGGAAGACTTCAAATTTTAGCAAATCTTAACAATTAAAGTAAGAATAAAAACTTTCTATTGCCCAAAACAGCAGAAGTTCCTCCAATACAGCGTAAAAAATGTTAATTGTTAAGCAAATAAATAAAGTTATTAAATATTTTCCCCAAGCTGTAGGAAATCCTCATGCCCCATGCACGGCAATCTCTATTTGCCGGACCTATTGGTGGTTTTTTTTTTTAAGGAAAAAAAAATGGAAAACTAAGCTTAGCCTTGGAAAACTAAGCAAATAAATAACATTAGTCATCAAAAGTTACTGGTATATCTGACATTAACAATTCATTGATATAAAAATTATTAGATTACTTTCCCTTTCCCATTCAGTGGATTGCTTTTGCTCAATTTTCCAACTAACTGTCACTTGACTCAGAGTCTATCACCTTGTCTTTGTTGTCCTTTCACCAATAATTCTCTTGCAAGTTGATGGTTGTAATCGTAGCCGTGGTTGAGCTCGGAGACTTTACTTCCCTAAGTCTGGGGGAAAACAAACGTCAAGAATAATATTTTATTGGTCTTATGTTTTTGTCGTACATTCTTCTGGTTGTATCCATGTTATTGTGCTTTTACTTCTAGTAAATTTAACATTACAACTCTCGTCTTGTTACTGTCCAATTGGCCTTTCGTCACTTGACAATGTCATTTACAACTGCATTAGAATTGTGATAGCTCAAATCTACTAATTCAAACAAGTTAAGGGAACACCCTGTTCCATACGTTACAAGAAAAAAACAATACATAGCAAAATAATAGACAAATGTGGTTAGCTTGGAGACTTATAATTCCCAGGTCTACGGGGAAAACAACGGTCAGCAAGAACACCCCATTTCACATGCAAGGAAAAGGAAACAGATTAGTTAGTCCACCTTTATCAGCTAGACCGATAATATTCTATTGGTCTGTTTTTCTTTTTCTTACGTTTTTGTCGTACATTCTTCTTGTTGTATCCATGTTATTGTGATTTTACTTGTAATAAATTGAACATTACAATTCTCATCTTGTGACCGTTCAGTTGGCCTTTCGTCAATTGTTGTCGTCGGAGACCCGACCCAAAACTCTTTTTCTAACAAAACTGCTAACACAAATAAAAATTACTTTCTTTTCTCCTTCTTGCATGGTCAGGAATATTCATTTTGTTTTTTAAAACTCATCTTGTTATTTATTCATTCTTTTTTATCTTTAATCAACATATGGACTTATAATGATTTAAAATAATTAAGTTTCAAATATTTTTTAAATTTTGGATTTAGTATCAATCGTAGTGAAGAATATGTAACAAAAGAATTTTTATTAGTTTCATCCTTAAGGTTATATTCACTGGTTCAAGAGATTTGTCTTTTGGATGTTATTTATGTGGTACTAATTGGAGGGAGTTTTACAGTTTGATACACATGCACCAGTTGTTTCTTAACTTTCAAAGAAAGAGAGAAAGCAAAAAAATCAGATTTCAATAATCTCTACCATCATCCGTGAACAAGTTTTCTGAACAAACAAGTAATTGCTTATCTGGAGATGGGTTGCTTTCGTGTTATCTTATCCTGATGTTTAATCTTATGGATTTAAAGTTGATTTAGTATACTGCTAGAAGCCAAGTCCATCATTTTCAAGCCGTCTGGATTTTTCTTGAAGAATCATCCTAGCTAGTTGATAGTTAATACGACTACTTCTCGCATTTGAGCTTTTGACCGGTTGGAAACTGTTGCATTCGCCATGACGGTGACTGAGTGGGATATCAAAATACCTACCAGCAGGCAGCAGCCATCCTTGATTTGCTAACGACTAAATTCAAATTTGCCTTTCGAGATTTAAGGAATTTCTCAGTTTCTCTCCTAAATTTTTGTTTGTATTCGTTTTTATATTATTTTTATATTTTTATCTATTAAACTAACACAACTAATAATATGATTTTTTTTTATATATATATTTCAATTGACTTATCCACGTATTTAAAAATCATAATCAAATATTATCTTTCAATCATATTAAAATTAGTAAAATTCGTCTTATTAAATTTTAAAGAAAAAAATATTATTTCAATTATAAAATGTTATATAATTGGTTATTAGTTTGTGTTTATGGTTTGAATATGATTTGAATAATTAATTTTAAAAGTTCGTTATCTATATATATATATATATATATATATATATATATATATATATATATATTTTGTTATATTAAACTTTATGTTTCACGCAATTAACGTATTTTGTTGAAAACAGGAATATATATCAAACTATGTTAATATTTTTTTCTATATATATATTAAAAGTTTATAATTTTAAAGAATATGAGATAAAAAAATATAACCTTAATAAAAAAATAATTAATATAATTGAAGAATACGTGCTTAATTAAGATTTTTTTAAAAAGTTTTACGAAGTCAATTCAAATATAAAAACAATGTCACACCATTATTTATATTATTGTAATAGAAAAGAGGAAATAATTAAAATTTTAATCGAAATGGAATTCCAATTAACTTTGACCGGTTTCTGCGAAGCAGCAACATCGAAGTTGCTGTGGGGGCGATCGCAGGAATCGAAAGCGGATTTAATGAAGAAAGCAACAAGAGTGGAGAGGGAAAGCATGATTAAGAGTGTTAAGAGCCATCTTTTTTGTAATGACGTGGGAGCCCACCCAGCTAGATTATTGTGGTGGTGGTGGTGGTGCTGTTGTTTTGCCATTTTTTCAAGGATTTGAGAGTTTCGGTATTTTCCAGAGGTGGGGATGGTGGTGGTTTATTGATTGGCATACTATTTTAGCAGTGCTAGGGTTTTGAGTATTGATTTTGTTCAGGAAAGATAATTCTGGTCAGAAAAAATCAATGATACAGACAGCTGTCGCTATCCAGATTGTAGTATAAATAGGTAGTAAGGTTGCTGTGGAAATGCACATAAGCAACTTACAGCTTGCGTTGTATTTGGTTAAGTAAGAGAGTGTTATTAAGATGAGGCAAATATTATGGGTGTGGATGCTGGTCATTTTGACATTAGCTTTGCTAAATATTGAGCGGTATCATTGTTGTTCGGAGGAAGAAAGGAGTGGTCTCTTGGAGATCAAAGCTTGGATCAATCACCCCAATGGCACTTCCATGCCAGACTGGATGGAAAATACTGATTGCTGCAAGTGGTCTGGGGTTGAGTGCGACAACACTACAAACCAAGTGACCAAACTCAATCTTTCTTTTGAAAGGGAGTTTTGGAGGTTAGGGGATTTGTATCTCAATGCATCTTTGTTTCTGCCTTTCAAGGAATTAAAGAGTCTTGGATTAGTCTGGAACGGATTAGTTGGTTTCTTAGAGAATCAAGGTCTTTTCTCTTCTATTCTTTTAGTAAAAACATAAATTTATATTGAATTTACACTGTTGGAATGGATGACATCTATGTCTGGAATTAGATTTCTTCTAAGAACCTACTTTTCTTTCAGGTTTTGAAGTCCTGGCATCAGGGTTGAGGAAACTGAAGGAACTTGACTTAAGTGGGAATTCATTTGACGACAGCATTTTATCATCTCTACCTGCGGTTTCATCTCTCCAGAATCTAGACCTATCATTTAATATGTTGACTACAATATCGAATAGTATCAATGGTAAAGTTGTCAATCCTATCATATAATAAGTTCTCAATACATGAAGTTGTCAATCCTACAATATCTACCTTAGTTGGCTTCTTTAACTTCTTCTGTTGTTTTAATCAAATCATAAGTTATTGATTGTATTCTCTCTTCTCACTTCACGTGTACTCACAGGTTTGGAGAAACTGGAGATTCTTGACTTAAGCGGAAATCAATTTAATGACAGCAGTTTATCACCTTTGAGTGGGCTTTCATCTCTCCAGACTCTGCACCTATCCCATAATAGGAACTTGACAGGATCAACTAGTATTGCAGGTAAAGTTGTAGACCATGCTCACCGCAAGATAGAAATTGATCGAAAATACATTAATTATTGATTGTGCTCTATATGATCTCCACATATCACAGGTTTGAAGAATTTAGATACCCTGTATCTCGATGGAATTGACTTCAAGGGAAGCATTTTGATCGAGTCCTTGGCAGAATTGCCATCCCTTAAGACCTTTTATGCTAGGCGGAGTAATTTAAGCAGAGCGCTAGTTGGTAAAGGTTAGTGACAGATTTGGTGCCTAAAACATGATATTTCGGTGTTCTTGACATTTTCATTATTTGATTTATCTTATCTTTTTTAAAACGGTTCTTTTTTTGTGAAATTTTCACAGGGTTCTATAATTTGACCATCCTTGAGGAGTTGTTCTTGGATTATTCTTCTCTCCCAACGAACTTTCTTCTGAACATTGGAGCATTGTCTACTCTTAAAGTTTTATCTTTGAAGGAATGTGACTTCAAAGGCCCCCTACCAGCTCAAGGTAATAATGATGTAATCTTTGTGCAAGCAGTTCCAACAACTATACCATTCTTTTACTGAATCAGAAGGGTTCCTCCCAGCTTGTTTGAGAAACTTGTTGTCACTACAACTGTTGGATGTCTCTACAATCAATTCGTTGCTAATATTGGCTCTGGTTCTCTTACCAATCTCGCATTCCTAACGCTGTTCGGTAACTTCATTGTCTGATTATAGGACTGCATAATATGACCAAACTTCAAGTGCTGTTACTGGATACTAATTCTCTCCCCACAAGTTTTCTTCGAGATATCGGAGCACTGTCTGCTCTTAGAATTTTGTCTATGCAAGAATGCGAGCTTAATGGCACCTTGCCGGACCAAGGTAAATTTCATCACTATTGAAAATTGGATATAGTAAATCATTGATTGCTTTATTACTATTCCCTAATTTCAATGTATGGAAATGTTGTACAGGTTTGTGTGAACTGAAGAGTCTTGAACAACTCTCTCTCTCTCAAAACAAACTACAGGGTTCACTACCTCCTTGTTTGGGAAACCTATCATTTCTACAATTCTTGGATGTATCTTACAACCAGTTTGTGGGAAATATTGCCTTTAGTCCTCTTTCGCATCTTAACCGACTTGAATTTCTTTCACTTTCAAATAACAATTTTCAAGTTCCAGTATCATTTGGTTCATTTATGAACCACTCACAGCTCAAGTTGATTGCATGCGATAGCAATAAGCTAATAGCTGCGTCCAGTTCTCAGCCCTTAGCTCCAAAGTTCCAGCTTCAGTTCTTTAGTGCTTCAAACTGTACCTCAGAACCACTCCAGGCTGAATTTCCTAACTTCCTTTATAGCCAGTATGATTTGAGGGTTCTTGATCTATCCCACAGTTTCTTTGGAGGACAGTTTCCGTCTTGGCTGATAGAGAACAATACGAGGTTAAATGGACTATATTTGAGAAACAACTCACTTATAGGTCCTTTGCGGTTGCCGCCTCATCCAGCAGCAAACCTTTGGACATTAGATATCTCCAACAACAACATGCAAGATCAAATTCCCAGAAACACATGTTTGATCCATCCAAATATGCAGAACTTGATGATGGCCAACAACAATTTCACAGGTTGTATTCCTCCTTGTTTTGAGAATATGAGCACTCTTATGCATTTAGATCTGGCCAACAATAATTTGTCTTGTGAAAAGCTTGAGCACTTGCCTGCATTTGGCTCCTCGTTGACGTTTTTGAAGCTGTCCAATAATGGTTTCAAAGGGCCAATACCCTCTTCAGTCTTCCAAATTATTACTCTTCGTTACCTCTATCTAGATGGAAACAACTTTGGAGGACACTTATCTTATAATTTTTCCATCGGATTGTTGGTTGTGACGTTGGATATCAGTAACAATCTTTTGTCAGGCATGCTTCCGAAGGGGATCGGGAACTTATCACATTTGGTGGCAATTGATTTGTCCAACAATCATTTTGAAGGTACTATTCCAGTAGAATTTTTCAAATCTCCGAGGCTTGAATTTATTGATCTTTCTGAAAACAACCTGTCCGGGTCAATACCATCTGGCTTCAATGCACCACGCTTACGCTATGTTAACCTCTACGGAAATCAATTGAGTGGTCCATGGACAGATGCATTTTACAATAGCTCTTCTTTGGTGACATTAAATATGGGAGATAACAACTTCACTGGCTCCATTCCGAATTGGATTGATAGGCTTTTAGAATTGAGCATTCTTCTTCTAAGAGGTAATCATTTCGAAGGTGAACTTCCTGTTCAGTTATGCTGGTTAAAGAAATTAAGCATGTTGGATCTATCAAAAAATAACTTTTCTGGTCCGCTACCACCATGTTTGAGCTATTTAAATTTCACGGCATCTTCTGAGAAAACTTTTATCCTCTTTACTTTTGTGAGTTCGTACATTAATATCTTCGAAATAATGAGATCAAGAGGAGGAGAAGATTTGAAATACATAAGTTTTGATCCTTTGAACCACACTACGGAGTCAAGAGTCAATTTTGAAACAGTTGTAGAGTTTACAACGAAGAGGAATTACCTAACTTACAAGGGCAATATCCTTCATTACATGTCTGGTATGGATCTTTCTGATAACAGATTTACAGGAGAAATTCCGACAGCATGGGGAGACTTACTGGGAATATATGCTCTAAATCTATCTCACAATAACCTCACCGGACTCATCCCTTCATCCTTCTCCAACCTGAAGCAGATAGAGAGTTTGGATCTTTCCTACAACAATTTGACCGGCGTCATCCCTATGCAGCTTACAGAATTGACCACTCTAGAAGTTTTCAATGTGTCATACAATAATTTGTCCGGCAAAACACCAGAGTTTAAAAATCAATTCGGGACCTTTGATGAGAGCAGTTATTTAGGGAATCCTCGTCTTTGTGGACCTCCATTGCAGAACAGTTGCAGCAAAACAGAATCACCACCAAAGAGAGTGCCCAATGATTCAGATGAAGGTGATAGCTTCATAGACATGGACAGTTTCTATGTGAGCTTTGGTGTGAATTACATAATTGTCGTGTTGACCATTGCAACAGTACTTTACATAAATCCACATTGGCGACGCTCGTGGTTTTACTTCGTTGAAAACTGCATGGACACTTGCAACTGTTTTCGGGCTGTTAAGTTACGCAAGTCGTCCAAATTCCGAAGGTGATATGGTCTTGTCATGGGCGTGTGGCTGCTTTCTGAATTTGTTGTGATTGGTTGCATGCCAGTTCGACAATTTACAGTATTTGTTGTAAGAAGCATTATGTTGCAGTGTGTTGTGATTTCTTCTTGTGAGCTGCTTATTTTCTCTTGTTATACTTTGTATTTTATGGCTTGCTCTTCGAATTGTGCCTTTGTATTTTATAGCTTAGCCTTGTGGCCAGTTGGCTTTTGTAATACCTCTATGAGTCTATGCTTAATAATAACGTGAACTTTATTCACAATATATATATATAGGCATTCCTTCTTCCTCTGTATCTTCTTGTGTACAAATCCAGTTTTTTTCTTCTGTATGATTTTTCAGAGTAGTATTCTTAGTGGAAATTGATTTTATTGAGAAATACAAAGCAAGAATGATTAAGATTAGTTTTCATTACATCAAAGAAGGAAAAATGAAAATTTTCATTCCATTTCTTAGGAAATTAATTCACCTTTCTTTACTCCGTCAGCCTTAATAGACATGTAAGGAGAGAGAAGAAAAAACAGAGTACATGTAGAAACAGAGGATTGTTCAAAGTTAGCCCTTCTTGACAAAGTTAGCTCTCTAGGCCAAACTAATGATCCTCTTAGCCCCTCTCTATCTCTGTTCTAAGGATTCTCTTTGACAGGATTGGTATTGGTAGGTGAAAAACATGAGTGCATGAGCTAGTTTTATTAGTTGGGTTAAGACATAATTGATAAGGTATGGCCACATCTAGCAATCATCTCCAATCCCATATGTAAACTTTGAAGTCCAAAAGACATAGTTGTGATTGTAAGCTTATATAGTCAAAATTATTCAACCCAGCCAAAAACAGGGACAAGAACAAGTGCTAGTGCTTATCATGGAGGCCATGTATGGATTTTTTTCCCCTTCTTTTTTCTCTTTTTCCTACAACTACGTTTGACTGGTAGTCTGGCAAGCTTGTCTGCGAATGCCAATAAAAAATTGCAGGATATAAAACTAGTTCTCATACGGCTTGGCAGCAGCATCATTTTCTCCAATGAATTGAGAGATCCTTTCAGTAAAGGGAAGGGTGAGATGGTGAAGGGAGAGGCAAGGAAAGTTGGAAACAGCAATGATATCGTGTTCCTTCGACCTACTCTCCTGGCCTCAACAACAAAAAAATTAATAATAACAATCCCACTAATTTCAATAAATAATTAATTATTTTGATATTTGTCATAACCCAAATCTTGGGTTATATATTTTTTAAATTTAATTGTCTAGTTTAATTAATTTTTATTTTTAGTTATCTTAGTTTGTCCATTATTCCTTCATTTCATCCTTTATTTATTTTTATTCATTTTATTTTAGTATTCATTATTAAATGTTTTTTAAAAAAGAAAATTTTCATAAAGGGAAAATCAAAGCAGAAATAAAATAAAACATAAAAAAAAATACATAAATTGTAAAAAAATAAAAATAAAAAATTGGATGGATAAATCTGGTCAAGGAGCACAATTGCATTAAATCAATTCTAAATTGGAAGTTAATAGGGGCTAAATCGAACAAAAAATAAAGAAGAAATTAAGGGCCTAATTGAAAGGAAATTAAGGATAAAATTGAAATTCGGAAAGTGGGAGGATTGTTTCAGACTTTGACATTCACAGTTTCATTCAACAAATTCTGCAAATCGAAGACCAGAAATGGTTTTCTGCGGGCTTTTCTGCAACAATTAGCAAAGAGAAGATCTTTAGAATAACAGGAGGGAGAGAGAAACTGGAAAAATGAGTTTTAAACGCAAACAGATTTGGTGAGAATTGAGTATAAATAGGGAGTAGGGAGGAACAGAAGGGAGGTTATTTTGGATTCTGGGTTGAGAGAAAGGAAAAATCAAGAGCAAAGGGTGAAATATCGAGAGATTTTGGGATTTTGGTTTCTGGGTTTTCCTGGGTTTTCTGGGCAGTGTTATTGAGTTTTTCGGCAGTGTTCTTCGTTTTCTGGGTTGCGATCTTTCTTTCCTGGGCAGTGTTATTATGATTTATATTATTTTTTAACATATGACATGCATAAATATAAAGTCCAAGTCCAGAGATAGACTTATATGAAAAGTATAGAAAATTTAATTTCAAGATCTCAATACAATGTAGAGTTTAAAGACAAAAAAAAAAAAAAGAACTAAAATGGTTTTATTTTAAAGATGAGGGAGTGAAAGATAGTTTTGTCCTATGAACCAACAAAATATGTAAGAAAAAGCATACAGCAGGAATTAACACAGTCCACGACTGAAAATAATATAGGCAACTAATGAGCAATTAAATATGTGAATCAACTGGACCGTCGGCCAAGCAAGAAATGAATATTAATCAAGCAGCTGGCCGGCATGGATTTTTGTGGTATAATGTCACTTTGAGGGGCCATGATTTTGTTGCTCCCAAATGCAGACAGAGCATGAGTTGCCAAGTAACTTGGGTCTGAGTCAAGGTCTCCTCAGACAATATTTAAGAAAAGAAAGCTCACTGAAGAAGACCTCGTTACCATCCAAGACCATAAGGACAAGATGTCCAAATTAATGCATTATAACAGGTTAAGTAAAAGACAAGAAGGAAACCCAGGTTAAGCGAAAGACAATAGGCTATTTTTCTTGACCTACTGCTTGCTTGAATGATGGATTGTTTGGAAACTTTTTCACAAGTGACATAAATATCCATAAACATTAGATGCAGTCACTTTCAGGGCCCTCTTCAGTTATGCTAAATATCCATAAACGTTAGGCTTGATTAATTTTTTTGTTGCATGGGGCTTTAGTAGTTTGGTTTAGTTTTCTGATTTGTTTTGTGTCTTAGAGCATCTTCAATATCTCTCTACTTTTAGTTAGTATTTTTAATGTAAATAGAGAGCATCATTAATTATATAGATCGAAGATTAATATTCTCTCCAATGGTACTCTCTACTTTAACTCTTTATTTTGACAAAATACATAAAACCTAAGGAGATTATTGGTGAAGAGGCTGAGTAGCATAGAAAATAATAACTTTCATTAATGAAATATAAGATAAAGAGTCATTTAGTAGTTTGGTTTAGTTTTCTGATATGTCATGATGTCTTACTGGAAACTAGACTTACTGGCTTACTGGAGATCACTAGGAAATTACTGGCTTACTGGAAACTAGACTTACTAGAACATTCCCCAAAACCAGTAGCTTTTTATTTCTTCTCTTTGACCAAAACCAACCATTGATCTTGGAAACCATACTTACTAGAAACTCTAACATGGAACTGGTCTATTAAAACAAATGTAATCATTTATTTCGATTATTGTAACCTCTGAGCTGTCATGGTTGTTAAGAAGAAAAAAAATAGAGCATTCCCCTGTTTCAGACTGTGTTCTTGATGTTTTTGGTTCCTTTGTCCTCGTATTAACCTCTTACTTGTGTTTTTCTTTTTTTTTCAAGTTAAATTGGAGGTCTTGGATTTGCTAGGATTACTTCCATGTAAAACATTGGTGATGGCAGTGATTTTCCGACATGTCTTAATATTTTCCAATAATCCAAGCTTAAGCATGCTCTAAAAGGGTTATTAGGAACAGAGTGAGAAGAGCAGCGGAGTCCGTAAGGAAATCATTAGGAAATTACTGGGTGGTGCTAAGCAACCGGGTTAGCTATTTTACATATCAAAAGTTCTGTTTTCTTCTTCTCATCATGACTTAATTGATTTTCAGAAATGACAACCATGAATAGAGATGACAATTGAACCCGATCAGACTCAGCCCCGCCCCCTAACCCGGTCAACGTGGGGATTTTCCACACTGATTGGGGAACGGGGCGCTTTTTTTTGGTCGGGGATGGGATTTGGCCGCCCCGTTTTTCCCTGTGTACAGTGATTTAGTCACTTTTGTCCCATGTGATTGTTTGCTTTTTTCTTTGATATCATCTTCTTTTTTTCATCCATTCAGGCTATGTCTTGACAACTTCTCTTTATATTTATTGACTATATTTTAGGTAAGAAGTTTATAATTCTTTAAGCAAAATAATTAATTTCTGAGGTGATATGATTATAATTCTTTGCTAAGAAAAAATCAATGATACAGACAGCTGTCGCTATCCAAATTGCAGTATAAATAGGTAGTAAGGTTGCTGTGGAAATGCACATAAGCAACTTACAGCTTGCGTTGTAATTGGTTAAGTAAGAGAGTGTTATTAAGATGAGGCAAATATTATGGGTGCGGCTGCTGGTCACGATCATGTTGGCTTTGCTAAATATGGAGCAGTATCATTGTTGTTTGGAGGAAGAGAGGAGTGGTCTCATGGAGATCAAAGCTTGGATCAATCACCCCGATGGCAATTCCTTGCGAGACTGGGTGGAAAATACAGAGGACACTGATTGTTGCAAGTGGTCAAGGGTTGAGTGCGACAACACTACAAATCGAGTGACCGAACTCGATCTTTCTCTTGAAAGAGATCGTTGGATGTTAGGGGATTTGTATCTCAATGTATCTTTGTTTCTGCCTTTCAAAGAATTAAAGAGTCTTGAATTAACCGGGAACGGATTAGTTGGTTGCTTAGAGAATCAAGGTTTTTTTGCCTTCCGTTCTTTTACTTAAAACATAAATTTATATTTTTTGTAATTTTACATTGAATTTATATTGATGGAAAATATATGTCTGTGATTATTTTGCTTTCGAGAACTTTTGTTTCAGGTTTTGAAGTTCTAGCATCAGGGTTGAGGAAACTGGAGGAACTTGACTTACATTATAATAGATTTAACGACAGCATTTTATCATCTCTGCGTGCGCTTTCATATCTCCGGATTCTAGATCTATCAGATAATATGCTGACTAAATTATCAACTGATATCAATGGTAAAGCTATGAATTTATTCAAGTTTTAATAGCTAGATTAGTTGGTTCTTTAACTTCTTCTATTCTTTTATTTTTCTTTCCACATATGACACAGGTTTGAGGAAACTGGAGGATCTTGACCTAAGTTGGAATCAATTAAATGATGGCAGTTTATCATCTTTGAGTGAGCTTTCATCTCTCCGGACTCTAGATCTATCGCATAACAAGAACTTGACTGGATCGACTAGTATCACTGGTAAAATTGTTTTAGACTTACAATACATGTGAACTTATTGTGAACAATTTGATGTACTTTTTATGATGGGCGTGAATCACTGGGTTTTAAGCTGTACTTTTGAAAATGCATCTTTGAGTGGAAATCTGCTAAAGTTTGATCTCATGGAAAAATAACCTTCTTAAGTGTTCCTAACAACTCCAACAGATTTTGATCCAATATATTATTGATTGTGCTCTCTATCTTTTCAAATCACAGGTTTGAGGAATTTAAAAACCCTGAATCTCGATGGAGATGACATGAAGGAAAGCATTTTGATTGAGTCCTTGGCAGCTTTGCCATCCCTTAAGACCTTTTATGCTACTGATAGTAATCTAAACAGAACACTGGTTGGCAAAGGTTAGTGGCAGGTTAGGTGTCTAAAACATGATATTTCAGTGTTGTTAACATTTTCGTTATTTTGATTTATCTTATCTTTTTTCGTAGGGTTCCACAATTTGACCAACCTTGAAGAATTGTTCTTGGATTATTCTTCTCTCCCAACGAACTTTTTTCTGAACATCGGATCATTGTCTACTCTGAAAGTTTTATCGTTGAAGCATTGTTACGTCAATGACCCCCTATCTGTTCAAGGTAATTACAGTAAGGGATTTCGATCAACTTTTTTTTTTTTTTTGCTCCTTATATAAGTTAAATATGGAAGTATGTCCAACAAACAATGAGCTAGTTAGAGTTATAAATTCAAATCCATCATATACTTTAAGAGGAAACTGATTGTTGCAAGTGGTTGAGTGCGACATATCTTATAAATAACGTGATATTAACAAAAAGACACCCAAATCCTAAAAATAACATAGAGCAACTAGGTGGCAAGGGTGACATCTTTTGACAATGTTATTTACAATTGCATTAGGACAATGCTACTGACAGTCATTTAAACAGAACACTGATTGGTAAAGGTTAGGTATCTAAAACATGATAATTCAGTGTTCTTGACATTTTCATTATTTGATTTATCTTACCTTTTTAACATGATATTTTATTTTATTTATTTATTTATTTTTTTTTTTATGAAATTTTTACAGGGTTATATAATTTGACCAACCTTGAAGAATTGTTCTTGTTAGATTCTTCTCTCCCAACGAACTTTCTTCAGAACATCGGAGCATTGTCTACTCTTAAAGTTTTATCTATGACGCAATGTTACCTCCATGACCCCCTATCGGATCAAGGTAAATTACAGCAAAGGATTTCAATCAATTTTTTTCCTTATATAAGTTAAATATATATGGAAGTACGTCCAACAAACAATGAGCTAATTAGAGTTATAAATTCAAATCCATCATAAACTTTCATGTTGTTATGTAAAATTATATATAAAAAAAAATTCTTGTTTAATCTCTGATTCTAAGAGTGTTATTGTTACATAACAATTTTAGACTTAAAATTTTAAATTTATGAATTAAAAGGAAAAATTGACATGAAGGAAAGCATTTTGATTACACTAAAGGATTTCAATCAACCTTTTTTTAATGAAATATATACGTTCAAATATACAGTAATAAGAATATTAAACCAGTACATGTTAAAAAAAATAATAATAATGATTAATAAAATCCTACATTAATTTTCAATATCTTTCGAATATGTGGAGCTTTTTTTTTTTTTTAAAGAAAGATTGTATAAACAAACTGTCTCCAAAAAGATTTAAGATTTACTTCTTATTGATTGTAATTTAAATTAGGTATAGTAGTTTATTTATTTACTTATTTATCATGGAATTAGTAGCATCATTAATATTTGATCCTATAGAATTATAAACATAATTAAATAACAAAATTTATTTTTGGTTCCAAGGAAGAAAATTTCGATTATAAGGAAAGGAAAATTGATTGATTAAACGGATTACGGAAAACCTCTAAATTTTCCCACCGTCCCTTTATAATTTTGTTATAAATATAAATTTAAAACGGAAAAAATTTTAATTTTTCAATAACCATTCAAATAAATTTGCCTTATGTTTCGTGTAACCTTATTCTCTGATTCTAATTCTCTCCCCAAAATGTTTCTTCGAGGACTGCTTGCTCTTAGCTAGAATGTTGTTTGTGCATGGATGTGAGCTTAAATGGCATACTGCCTGAACAAATTAGATTTCATCATTATTGAAAATTTTAATTTTTAAATAACCATTCAAACAAAAGTCCCTTTATGTTTCATCTAACTTTATTATCAGTGAGAGTTGTTATTGCAATAAAACAATGATGTTTCAACGTTATTATCATCTTCATTATTGGATTTTCTTTATCTTTTTCACAGGGTTTTATAATTTGACCAGCCTAGAAGAACTTTTACTCGATGATTCTCCTCTCCCAACAAACTTTCTTCTAAACATGGGAGCATTGTCTGCTCTTAAAGTTTTATCTCTAGAAACATGTGACCTCAATGGCACCCTTCCTGCTCAAGGTACGTAGTTACAATATGATCTTTCTACATTTCCTTAGATGAACAACTATTGGATAACAGTGCTTCATAACATGAATATCTATTATACAGGCTGGTGTGAGCTGAAGAACCTCCAACAACTACATATGTCTTCTAACAAACTAGAAGGCTTACTCCCATCTTGTTTGAGAAACTTGTCATCTCTACAACTGTTGGATGTTTCTTACAATCAATTGGTTGGTAATATTGGCTCTAGTGCTCTTACAAATCTCCCTTTCCTTAAATACCTTGACATTTCAGGTAACCGCTTTGAAGTTCCCATCTCCTTTAAGTCATTTGTGAACCATTCCAACCTCAAGTTCCTTTCATGTGATCACAACGAAGCAATTGTTGAACCTTTCTTTCAGAGTATTATTCCAAAGTTCCAACTCAAGTTCTTCAGTTTCTCAAATTGTACATCAAAATCAGCAGAAATTCCCAACTTCCTCCATAACCAATATGACTTAAGAGTTCTTGATCTCTCCCACAACAACTTCAGAGGAATGTTCCCATCTTGGTTGTTTGAGAACAATATAAGATTAGAACAACTATTTATGAGAGACAATTTCTTTGGAGGTACTTTACAGTTTCGATACCATCCAAATCCCCATCTTTCAGTCATAGATATAGTAAACAACGACATATATGGTCAAATTCCGACAAATATATGTTCGACATTTCCAAATTTGAGGGTTTTAACCATGGCTAAAAATAGATTTGAAGGAAGTACTCCTACTTGTTTTGCAAATATGAGCACTCTAGATTCTTTAGACTTATCCAACAATTCATTGTCTACAGTAAAACTAGAGCAATTGACCTCATTATCCTTTCTGAAACTTTCAAACAACAACTTGGAAGGGCACATACCTCCCTCAATTTTCAACTCATCTATTTTGCAAGAACTCTACCTAAATGGAAACAATCTTAGCGGAGAGGTATGGGATATTTCATCTGTCAATGGGTTATCTTTGGAAGCATTGGATATCAGTGACAATAGTTTTTCAGGCATACTTCCGAAATGGATAGGCAATATGTCAAATCTCCGAGCAATTGATTTATCCAAAAATCATTTTATGGGTCCAATTCCAAGAGATTTTTGCAAGCTCAACTGGGTTGAGTATTTTGACCTGTCTGACAATAATCTCTCTGGCTCTATACCATCTTGTTTCAACCTACCTCACATATCCCATATCCATCTATCTAAAAACCAATTGAGTGGTCCCTTAACCTTTTCATTTTCTAATATCTCCACCTTGGTGACATTAGATCTCTCAAATAATAAATTTACTGGCCCAATTCCAAATTCGATCGGCAATCTTTCTACATTGAGTGTTCTTGTTCTAAAAGCTAATGCTTTTGATGGTGAATTACCTATTCAGGTATGCATGTTAGAAAAATTGAGCATTTTGGATGTTTCAAAAAATAAACTTTCTGGTTCTTTACCCTCTTGTTTCGGCAATTTGACTTTCAAGGTAGCCAGTGAAAAAGAATATGTTGGCCACGGATATTTTATATATCGATCCTTTGACAAGTCATATTTTGTGTCCATGGGTTTACCAAATCTAGATTTCTATGTTGATAAAAATGAGAATAATAGAAATGAGAATCCCATAATCAGTATCGATGAAGTTATAGAGTTCACAACAAAGAGACATTCCTACAATTACAAAGGTGACATCCTTAATTTCATGTCTGGAATGGATCTTTCTTGCAATATATTCAGCGGAGACATCCCATCAGATTTGGGAAAATTAGATGGGTTACATGCACTAAATATGTCGTACAATAATTTCACTGGATTTCTACCTGCAACATTCTCAAAACTAAATCAAATTGAGAGCTTGGATCTTTCTCATAACAGCTTGACTGGAATCATCCCTCCACAACTTATTGCAATCACCACTCTAGCAGTTTTTAGCGTAGCATACAATAACTTGTCAGGCACAACTCCAGAGATGAAAAATCAGTTTGGTACTTTTGATGAAAGCAGCTATGAAGGAAATCCTCTTCTCTGTGGACCTCCATTGCAAACCAATTGCATTAGAAAAGAATCACCATCAAAGTCAATGCCCGATGAAGAAGAAGAAGAAGACGATTTCATAGACATGGATGTTTTCTATGTGAGCTTCGTGGTATGTTACATAATTATAGTGTTGACAATTGCATTGGTTCTATACATCAATCCATATTGGAGACGCAGGTGGTTTTACTTCATTGAAGAGTGCATACACACTTGTTACTACTTTGTGGTGGATAGTTTTCATAAATTGTCCTAAATCTACTGTGATTGTTGTTGGCATTGTATTGGGTGCTTTGTATATTGTATTGTACTTGTCTCATATCTTAGACTTCGTATTAAGTGAGATGTGAGGTGTCAGCTGCTCAGAATCCTTAGCGGTCCATTTTATTTTCTGTTTTGCTTTCAGAATTGGCGGGTGGGCAACTGGCTTTGTGGTCTATCCATTTCTTGGTTTCTTGTAATCACTCTATGAGTCTATGCTTAATAACAACGTGAATTTTATTCAAAAAAAAAAACTTTAGGTTTATCTTTTTCCATTTTATTGAAATCTTAGAATTTTGAAACTACTGATTAATATAATCCTACTTTAATTTTCAAAATGTTTCGAATATGTGGAACTTTTAGGTTTTTTTTTAAGAAAGATCATATAAACAAACTGTCTCCAAAACGATTTAAGATTTACTTCTTATTGATTGTAATTTAAATTAGGTATAGTAGTTTATTTATTTATTTACCATGAAATTAGTAGAATCATTAATACTTGATCCTATATAATTTTAAATATAATTAAATAAAAACACAACGTAAGGTTAGTTTGACAAATTTTAGTTTTTGTTCTAAGAAAGAAAATTGATTACGAAAAAACTCTAAATTTCCCCACCGTCCTTTAATAATTTTGTTATAAATATAAATTTAAAACGAAAATAATTTTAATTTTTTCAATAACCAGTCAAACAAATTTTCCTTATGTTTCGTGTAACCTTATTGTCTAACTCTAATTCTCTCCCCACAAGTTTTCTTCGAGATATGGCATGGATGTAAGCTTAATGGCATCCTGCCTAAACAAAGTAGATTTCATCGTTATGGAAAATTCATTATGGAATAGGTCACTCAAGATCAGTACAAATTCATTATTGAAAATTTTAATTTTCAAATAACCAATCAAACAAAATTCCCTATGTGTTTCATCTAACTTTATTATTGTCAGTGAGAGTGTTTATTGCAATAAAACAATGTTTCAACGTTATTATCATTTTCATTATTGGATTTTTATTTATGTTTTTCACAAGATTCTATAATTTGACCAGCCTTGAAGAACTTTTACTAGATGGTTCTTCTCTCCCAACAAACTTTCTTCTAAACGTGGGAGCATTGTCTTCTCTTAAAGTTTTATCTCTGAAATGATGTGACCTCAATGGCACCCTTCCTGCTCAAGGTACGTAGTTACAATCTGATCTTTCTACATTTCCTTAGATGAACAACTATTGGATAATAGTGCTTCATAACATGAATATCTATTATACAGGCTGGTGTGAGCTGAAGAACCTCCAACAACTACATCTGTCTTCTAACAAACTAGAAGGCTTACTCCCATCTTGTTTGAGAAACTTGTCATCTCTACAACTGTTGGATGTTTCTTACAATCAATTGGTCGGTAATATTGACTCTAGTGCTCTTGCCAATCTCACTTCCCTTAAATACCTTGACCTTTCAAGAAACGGATTTGAAGTTCATTTGTGAATCATTCTAATCGCAGTTTCCTTTCATGTGCTGACAATAAAATAATAGCCGAACTTTACTTTCAGAGTATTATTCCAAAGTTCCAACTCAAGTTCTTCAGTTTCTCGAACTGTACGTCAAAATTAACATAAATTCCTTACTCCCTTCATAACCAATATGACTTAAGAGTTCTTATCTCTCCCACAACAACTTCAGAGGAATTTTCCCATCTTGGTTGTTTGAGAATAATACGTGATTAGAAACACTATTACTGAGAGACAATTTCTTTACAGGCCCTTTACAATTTCAACACCATCCAAATCCTCACCTTTTGACCATAGATATAACAAACAACATCATACATGGTCAAATTCCTAGAAATATGTGTTTGACATTTCCAAATTTGGGCGTGTTAAAGATGGCTAAGAATGGACTTGAAGGAGGTACCCCTACTTGTTTTGGGAATATGAGCTCTCTAGATTCTCTAGACTTATCCAACGATGCATTGCCTATAATAAATCTGGAGCAGTTGACCTCATTATCCTTTTTGAAACTATCAAACAACAACTAGGAAGGGCACATATCTCCCTCAATTTTCAACTCATCTAGTTTGCAAGAACTCTACCTAAATGGAAACAATCTTAACAGACAGGTATGGGATATTTCATGTATCAATGGGTTATCTTTGGAAGCATTGGATATCAGTAACAATCATTTTTCAGGTATGCTCCCGAAATGGATAGGCAATATGTCAAATCTCGTGGCAATTGATTTATCCAAAAATCATTTTAAGGGTCCAATTCCAAGAGATTTTTGCAAGCTCAACATACTTGAGTATTTTGACCTGTCTGAGAATAATCTTTCAGGTTCTATTCCATCTTGTTTCAACCCATATCAAATAACCCCTATCCATCTATCTAAAAACCAATTGCGTGGTCCCTTAACCTCTTCATTTTTTAACATCTCCACCTTGGTGACATTAGATCTCTCAAATAATAACTTTACTAGCCCAATTCCAAATTTGATCTGGAATCTTTCCAGATTGAGTGTTCTTGTTCTAAAAGCTAATGCTTTTGGTGGTGAATTGCCTACTCAGTTATACATGTTAGAACAATTGAGCATTTTGGATGTTTCAGAAACTAAACTTTCTGGTTCTCTACCCTCTTGTTTCGGCAATTTAACCTTCAAGGCAACCAATGAAAAACAATATAATGGCAACTTATATTTTGGATATCCATTCTTTGACAAGTCAAATTTGGTATCCATGGGTTTACCAAATCTACCAAACTATGCTGTTATGAATGAGAATTATGGAATTGAGAATCGCATAATCAGTGTCGATGAAGTTTTAGAGTTCACAATAAAGAGACATTCCTACAATTACAAAGGTGATATCCTTAATTTTTTGTCAGGAATGGATCTTTCTTGCAATTCATTTAGTGGAGACATCCCATCAGAATTGGAAAAATTAGATGGTTACATGCACTAAATTTTTCACACAATAACTTCACTGGATTTCTCCCTACTACATTCTCAACTGAATCAAATTGAGAGCTTGGATCTTTCTCACAATAGCTTGAGTGGAATCATCCTTCCACAGCTTACAGCAATCACCACTCCAGTAGCTTTCAGCGTGGCATACAATAACTTATCGGGCACAACTCCAGAGAGGAAAAATCAGTTTGCAACTTTTGATGAAAGCAGTTACGAAGGAAATCCTTCTCTATGGACCTCCATTGCAAACCAATCGCACTAGAGAAGAATCACGATTAAAGTTCGAGCCTAATGATGATGAAGAAGATGGTGATGATTTCATAGACATGGATGTTTTCTATGTGAGTTTCGTGGTATGTTACATAATTGTGGTGTTGACAATTGCAATGGTTCTATACATCAATCCATGTTGGCGACGTTGGTAGTTTTACTTCATTGAAAAGTGCATATACATTTGCTACGACTTTGTTGTGGATAGTTTTCGTAAACTATCCAACTTCAAAAGGCCTTAACATAGTGTTGTGGGTTTGTTTCTGAATTTGCTGTGAATGTTGCGTTAGAAATTGTGGTTTACCTATTTGGTTGCTGGCACAAACTTCAGTTTGCCCACTACCTGTTCGATAATTTGCTTGTGAGAAGTATTGCTCAAGATCCTTGGTGTTGGGTGCTTTGTATTTTGTATTGTACTGATGTCGTAGCTTAGACTTTCTATTGAGTGAGATGTGAGGTCTGAGTTGCTTAGGATCTTTAGAAGTCCATTTTATTTTCTGTTTTGCGTACAGAATTGGCAAGTGGGCAGCTAGCTTTGTAGCCTATCCAATTATTGGCTTCTTGTAATCAATCTATATGTGAGCTATGCTTTAACAACAATGTGAACTTTATTCAAAAAAAAAAAAAAAAAACTTTAGGCATTCCTTCTTCCTCTATGTCTTCTTGTGTACAAATCCAACTCTTTTCCTCTGGATGATTTTCCGGTGCAGTATTCTAAGTTGAAATTTATATTATTGAAGAAATGAAAGAGATTAAGATAAGTTTTCATTACATCAAAGTAGGAAAAAGAAAAAAATTCATTCCATTTCTTAGAAAATTATATCACCTTTCTTTACTCAGTTAACCTTGATAGACATGTAAGGAGCGAGAAGAAAAAACAGAGTACATGTACAAAACTGATAAGAACAGAGAGATCCTAGAACACAATCTAAGACAAACTACAAGCGTCTGAAAAACAATGGGGACTACGTTTGGCCCAACACTCTTTTTCTATGTAAAAGGTATGCCCACTGGCCAATCAAATTCCAAAACAGAATGAGAACAATTAAGAGAATGAGAAGCGTGATAAACATACTTTCAATTTCAGTTCCTGCTTGTCAAACTAAGTGGTTGTCTCAAAATAAACAAAAGCGGAGAAGGTTCGAGAAGGTTCTCTAGCTCTAGCTCTTCAGGCTCTTTATTGTTCTTTGGTGATTGATTTTTTTTTTTTTTTTTTTTTTTAGACTTTTATCTTTCTCCATTTTGACAGTTTCTTTCCATTAACTGACAAAAGAGGGAGTCATTAACTTTCTGAAAAACTGGTAGTCTATCATTCAACGATTTCCCTTGCGACTCTTGACTTCTCTTCCATCAGAACAAAAAAAAAAAGAAAAAAAGAAAAAAGAAAAGTAACAAAAAACAGAACAGAATGTAATTAACAAAAGCTGAACAGACATTTACCAAGGAGAGAAATCTATATAAGTTGAACATGGAAATGTGTTGGGATAATTATTAAACTTATTTAACTACGGTTATGTGAGAAGATAATATTCAAGAAGTAACAGAAGGACTTATTATGGATACCATGTATGCAATTTTTTACCCTTCTCTTTTCCTGTATCCTAATCCGACGTTTAACGGGTTGTCTGGCAAGCTTGCCTGCTAATGTCAATGAAAAATTGTTCTGGTGTTGGAGAATATATCAGACCACTTGCAGTCCTTCCTGAACCAAACATCTACCGCAGCCAACATCTACAGCAACGTGCAGTCCTTCATGCCCTGCTACCAGTCTCCATTGCAACCTACTGCCACCATTCCAGCAGCCTCCCCCAACTGCAGTCACCTCCTGGACAAACTCCTGTCCAATCTTCACCAACCAGCAACCTCCAATTATCCAGCAGTCCCAACCCATCCTGCTGCCACTTCCTTCCTGCACAGCCACCCTACGGCCATTCACACCTCAACCTACTGCCAGCCCCCATTGCATTAAGCTGCAGTCCACCCATCACCCTAAAACTGCCAGCCTCAACCCTACAACCTGAGACCATACCTGCAATAATCCCTCATGGTGTGAAATAACACAATCACGGATACAAGAGGCAGCAGCAACACAAGCAGTAAGAGAGAAATCAGTTCAAAAAAATTGAAAAGAAAAGGAAAAAAAAAAGAAGAAGAAGAAACAGTAGCACTTCAGAATGAGCTTTTCTGAAATTAAAACAAACTCAGAAACCCTGCGTCTCGATGGAATTGACATGAAGGAAAGCATTTTGATTGAGTCCTTGGCAGCATTGCCATCCCTTAAGACCTTTTCTGCTACTAACAGTAATTTAAACAGAACACTGGTTGGCAAAGGTCAGTGACAGGTTAGGTGTCTAAAACATGATATTTCAGTGTTGTTAACATTTTCGTTATTTTGATTTATCTTATCCTTTTTCGTAGGGTTCCACAATTTGACCAACCTTGAAGAATTGTTCTTGGATTATTCTTCTCTCCCAACGAACTTTTTCTAAACATCGGAGCATTGTCTACTCTAAAAGTTTTATCTTTGCAGCAATGTTACCTCAATGACCCCCTATCGGTTCAAGGTAATTGCAGTAAAGGATTTCAATCAACTTTCTTTTTTTTCCCTTAATGTGAGTTAAATATGGAAGTACGTCCAACAAACAATTAGCTAATTAGAGTTATAAATTCAAATTCATCATAAACTTTCATGTTGTTATGTAAAATTATATATAAAAAAATTCTTTCTTAATCTCTGATTCTAAGGAGTGTTATTGTTATATAACAATTTTAGACAAAAAAATTTTAAATTTATGAATTAAAAAGACAGAAATAGCAAAAATTTTGGACATAAATTTTAAATTTAAAAACCCTACATGTCGATGGAATTGACATGAAGGAAAGCATTTTTATTACAGTAAAGGATTTCAATCAACCTTTTTTTTTTTAATGAAATATATACCTTCAAACATACAGTAATAAGAATATTAAAAAAGTATATGTTAAAAAAAATAATAATAATAACGACCGTTTTTAAATATGTTTTTATTTTTTCACATTTTATTGACATCTTAGAATTTTGAAACTATTGATTAATATAATCCTACTTTAATTTTCAATATCTTTCGAATATGTGGTACTTTTCTTTTCTTTTTTTAAGAAAGATTATATAAACAAAATGTCTCCAAAAAGATTTAAGATTTACTTCTTATTAATTGTAATTTAAATTATGTAGTAGTTTATTTATTTATCATGGAATTAGTAGCATCATTAATACTTGATCCTATAGAATTTTAAATATAATTAAATAAAAGCACAATGAAAGGTTAGTTTGATCTCTAAAAGGATTTTCAAGTTGTTAGTGACAACATTTAGTTTTTGTTCTAAGGAAGAAAATTTCGATTATAAGAAAAAGAAAATTGATCCATTAAAAGGATTACCGAAAACCTCTAAATTTAGTTTTTGTCCGTTTATAATTTTGTTATAAATATAAATTTAAAACAGTAAAAATTTTAATTTTTTGTGTAATTTTACTGTCTGATTCTAATTCTCTCCCCACAAGTTTATGCATGGATGTGAGCTTGATGGCATCATTAGTGAAAATTCATTCTGGAATAGGTCACTCAAGATCAGTACAAAGTCATTATTGAAAATTTTAATTTTCAAATAACCAATCAAACAAAATTCCCTTTATGTTTCATCTAACTTTATTGTCAGTGAGAGTTTTTATTGCAATATAACAATGATGTTTCAACGTTATTATCATTTTCATTATTGGAATTATCTTTATCTTTTTCATAGGGTTCTTTAATTTGACCAGCCTTGAAGAACTTTCACTGGATGGTTCTTTTCTCCCACCAAACTTTCTTCTGAACATGAGAGCATCGTCTGCCCTTAAAGTTTTATCTCTGGAAGCATGTGACCTCAATGGCACCATTCCTGCTCAAGGTAGTTACAATCTGATCTTTCTACATTTCCTTAGATGAACAACTATTGGATGATAGTGCTGCATAACATGAATATCTATTATACAGGCTGGTGTGAGATGAAGAACCTCCAACAACTACATCTGTCTTCTAACAAACTAGAAGGCTTACTCCCATCTTGTTTGAGAAACTTGTCATCTCTACAACTATTGGATGTTTCTTACAATCAATTGGTTGGTAATATTGGCTCTAGTGCTCTTAACACTCTCACTTCCCTTAAATACCTTGACCTTTCAAGCAATCGCTTCGAAGTACCCATCTCATTTAAGTCATTTGTGAACCATTCCAACCTCAAGTTCCGTTCATGTGATCACAACAAACCAATAGTTGAACCTTCCTTTCAGAGTATTATTCCAAAGTTACAACTAAAGTTCTTCAGTTTCTCGAATTGCACGTCAAAATTAGCAAAAATTCCTAACTTCCTCCATAACCAGTATGACTTAAGAGTTCTTGATTTCTCCCACAACAACCTCAAAGGAATGTCCCCATCTTGGTTGTTTAAGAACAATACAAGATTAGAAACACTATTATTGAGAGACAATTTATTTACGTGTCCTTTACGGTTTTAATGTAAGAAATATGGCTCGATGTTATGGCTCATATTTTATATGTAAGCCCATATTAAGTTGGTTTAGGGTTTTCTTAATTTAATAATATGTTAAATCTGAACCGTTAATTTAGTACTTGATGGACGTACAAGATTTAATATTAACAGGTATATAAACTAGTCCTCTTTCTACCCTAAAGCGAGTATGCGGACAAAAACATAAAAATACAAAACGTACGTATTTTGGCTATCCATCAAGCCACCTGCTACGTAAAAGAGGGTCAAGGGAGAGAAACTAATTTATAAAGTTCGTGATTGTTGAAAGCTCTCTCTACATCATGATGAATTCCGCTCAAGGTAAGTAATTTATTCACTTTACTCGTGTGATTATTATTTTATTCAAGATCCCGAATGGGCATGAATGATTTATGTCTTGATCATTGCATAGAATGATTTATGTTTTGATCTTTAAGCAAGAAAGTTAGTTTTACATGTGGTATCGAGCCTAGGTTTTGAATAGATAATAATCCTTAGATTATTGATTTGATGATTAAATAAAAAAAAAGGGATTAAGCTACTGCCACTGCCAACAATTGGCAATAGCAAATCATTGACAGTGATATCGCACCGTCAATGTTTAAAAAAAAAAATCAGTCGCGCCTTACACGATTAGTCGTTCGCGCAAGAGGCTCGCGCAGACGAGGCCACGCGATCGGCTTTGCGCACGACAACGAGGCCATGCAGCAAGCCTTGCGCACAGCAAGCGCGACCGGCCGCTCGGACAAAAGGCTCGCTGCGCGCAATGCGCGACCGGCTTGCGCACGACAGCAGGCCATACGACCGACCAGAGAGAAAATATATATATATGTGTGTATGTATGAATTATGTATGCATTTTTTCTTTATATATATATATAATAGTATGATTAAATTGATTTGTTAGTCACCAAAGTGGCCAAATTAATTTTGAATATGTGATCATATAATTTATGTGTTTTTTATGAAATGCTATTGAGAATAAAAATTATTTTTATTTTATATATATATATATATATATATGACGATATGATTAAATTGATTTGTTAGTCACCAAAGTGGCCAAATTAATTTTGAATGTGTGGTCATATAATTTATGTATTTTTATAAAATGCTATTAAAAATTATAAATTTATTAGTTGATAGAAATTAAGGACTTTACCCAAAGGTAAATCAATGTTCTATAACTAATAAATATAAAGGAAGAAATTGATATACTCTTGTTACATATATATAGTTATCCAAAGATGCTATATGTATTTGAAAAATGTTTATTTAATTTCTTATAAAGTCTAAATGGCATCCGAATGATAGTGATGATATGTATTGTTGTATTTACCCAAAGGAAACTCGCAATATATTTAATGTATATGCTTTACGTCCGAATCGTTAATAAGTAAGTGTTTATATGTTTGCAGCTATTAGCCTTCATTCTCAAGCATCTTCTCGTTACCTTGTTTATTGGTGTGAATTTCTCCGAATGGAGCGAACAAGTCACTTTTCATTTAGGTGCTTTGGATCTTGACTTAGCGTTGTTAGAGGATAAGCCTACCGACCTTAATGCTATTAGTACGAGAGGCTGAAAAAGCACACCATAAGGCGTGGGTAAGGTCTAACAGATTATGTTTGAATTTTATGTGAATGTCGATTGCCAACAACATTAAGTCTACTCTTCCTAGCACTCGAAAATCGAATGCTAAAGATTTTCTTAAGCTTGTGGAAGAGAAGTTCCGTTCTGCCGATAAGGCACTTGCGGGGACACTTATGGCCGAACTCACGACCATGAAGTTTGATGGGTCAAAGAGTATGCAAGCAACATGTCCTTGATATGACTAACATTGTAGCAAGACTTAAGACATCGGACATGACTCGTGGAAGACTCCTTCTTAGTGCAAGTTTATCATGAACTCACTTCCTACCGACTATGGACCGTTCCACATCAATTATAACACATTAAAGGATAAGTGGAATATCGATGAACTATCCAAGTAAGCTTATTCAGGAGGAAGCGAGATTAAAGAAACAAGGAGTTCATTCTATTAGCCTAGTGGGTCAAGGAGCTGGAAAAACATTCAAACCAAAGTCCAAGAATTTCAAAAGGAAAGAACCTCGCTAAAGTTTTACAGAGTTGTCGATGATGGAAGGAAGGGACAAAAGTTAGATAAATGTCATTTCGCAAGAAAGAAGGACATTATCAAAAGGATTGCCCAAAACATAAGGCTTGGTTCGAAAAGAAAGGTATGCATTATGTTTCGTATGCTTTGAATCAAACTTATCTAAAGTTCCTTCTAATACTTGGTGGTTTGATTCCGGTGCCACTACTCATGTTTCCAATATTATGCAGGAATTTCTTACAATCCAAACCATAAGCCTAACTAGCAATTTTCTCGTTTATGGGGAACCGAATGAAGGCCCCAATTGAAGGTGTGGGGACCTACAGTCGACATTAGATACCGAACATCACTTGGATCTAATGAACACTCTCTATGTACCTTCAAT